TCCGTTAAAACAACAAATTCCGTTAGTTTTTCCGTTAAAAATAAGAAATTCCGTTACATAGCCACTTTTAATATATAGAAGATATATATATATTGACGTTAATATTTTTTAATTTGTATAATGAAATTCCTTTCATGTACGGAAAGTGAAATGATTATTTCTGGAATTTTCAAATTCGATTGGCCGTTCGAATTTACATGTTCGGAAGTAAATGTGAAATTTTTGTCCAAGTAAATTGCTTTTCATTTTGAAACCCATCCGAAGCCATACGCGGCACCGAGATGCACACTTCACTCAAGTTTCCAAAATTGTTTTTATGTGATTTCAAATGTGTCAACCTTGGACGTTTTGAAACCCATTTTATTTCTTTCTATAGTTCTCACATCAAAAGAGGAGAGAAGGTCAGAAATGTAAAATTGCAAAAATAGGAAAATGAAAGGATGTCACATGTAGCAGTCCTACCTTGATTTGATGTGAGAATGCATTATTGAAACAACAATGGGGATCAAACGGGGTGCTAATCTATTAGCAAACCGTACAAAGGATATTCTTTGCTTCAAAAAAAGAAAAATATGGAATTTAGAGCAGCTTCTTGAAAAACAGAATATAAGATCACTTAACTATCATTTTCAAGGTATTTGAAAAAAATTCTGGATATTATCTTGAAAATCCGTGTGCACCGCCCACAATTACTAAATTCAACAGGTCACTCATCCATAATCTTGAATGCTTTCTGATCATGACCTCATCTGTCACCATATACATGTAACTCCGCCACAATATGCACGTATAATAACAAGATTACACTCTGAACATCGACTGTATTCTGTATCAAATTCAACTTCGAAAATATATAGAAACAAAAGGAGGGGAGGCTCCATAGAAAGAAAAAAAATGGGTAGTTTTGAGGAGGAGAATCTGTATCAGATGGTGAATGATTTTCTTGAATCAGAATCAACACCACCCCTTTTATCTTCTGACCCACAAAGCTTGTTCCTCAATGGTCATCATACTAAATATTACATCTTGCAGGTATATTTGAATATCACATAGAAACTTAGTCGTGTGATTTTTATGCTAAGATTCTATTCTGAAATCTTGTATTTTGTTTGATAGGAGATTCTTGAAAGTGGGAATGTTGCAGAAACTTATGTTCTTGAGAGTGTAATGAAGCATATGAGAAAGAAAATTGGGGAAAGGAGTACTACTGCACTGAAGAAGTGGCTTGTCAAGAAGTTGAAAATTGATGGCCATAATGCAACTCTCTGTCACTCCTCTTGGCCTACTACTTTGAATTGTCCTGGTGGTAATTACTACATCATTTGAAGCCTATTTTACAGTTATTTTAATTTGTTGTTTGGGTTATCAACTAACACAACCCCAAAAATTATGAGGAACTATTGAACCGCCTCATCTACAAGTTTAAGTTTCTCAGAGAGGAAAGATATTTATTAGGCTTGCTATTCTATAATTTTGGATTTTCTTATTAATGTAAGATTTTACAATTGCACAATTTTCATAAATAGGTGGCGGCGACACTTAAAACTCAGTACCTTTTGCTTGAAACCATGTTGAACCTCTGAAAATTGTGCGTGTTTTACGCCTTTGATGAAAACCTGTACACGAGGGACTTGTTGAGAAAACAACTAAAATCAATAAACTTATCCCCTCCCTATTAGAATAATTTTTTAAGATAAGAGATGTTTCAAGAAGGGCCTAGTTTGTAGTTTGTTATTGAACAAATTGTGTTGTGTTTTGGCATATCCTAAACAGGTGAACATGATTACATTGAAATTATATTAGAAGATTTAAATGGTTGTCCATTGAAGGTGATAGTAGATACAGATTTCAAGTCACAGTTTGAATTGGCAAGGCCTACTTCAACTTATAAAGAGCTCTTCAGCATGGTTCCATCTATCTTCGTCGGGACGGAACAAAAGCTGAAGAAAATTATTTCCATTCTCTGTGCAGAAGCCAGAATTTCATTTCTTGAAAAAGGTCTTCATGTACCTCCATGGAGGACAAGCAATTACATGCAGTCCAAATGGTTTTCTGCCAGTCAAAAATGGGCACAATTTCCCAGCAGCAGAGAAAAAACGATGTATGAGAAAAGAGCTAGTGACATTGTCCCCTCAAAAACTTCAATAATTTTGTAAACTTTAGTTGGTTTCCTTTTAAAATATCCAAGATAGTGTTTGAATGGTGCTAGTTTGATACTTCATGATTATGGCTTTTCTTTTCTTTTTTTTCCTTCTAATTTCTTTGTATTATAGTCAATGTGGACGTGAAGGTGGAAAATCAATCGTGACATTAGCAATTCCGATCCAACCAAACAATTTCAGTTAGTCGGGGTAGAACTTAGAAGAAAGTTATTTAGTGCCAAAGTGAGACTGGAGAGTGGAGTGTGGAATGTGTTTTGTCTGTAAGAGAAGAAAATAGAAGAATAAGAATTAAGAAGGGGAAAGAGAGAATGCAGTTGAATAAGAGGGGAAATAAATAAAAAGGCAAATATTAAAATCAATTTTAATAAAAAAAAATTTAGTTGTGTTTACTGTTTTTGAACCAATTTTAATTGAAAAATAATTGGAAGAATTTACAAATGTAGTGAAGATTTTTTAATATTATTTAAGTAAATATTAATAAACGACATCGCTATTACAATCGTTGATTGTCGACGGTTAACGGTCGTGGTCAGTCCTAGTTGAACTTCGATCTTAAATTCGCCACTGGTTATAGAGAACAAAGTTGTTGGGAGTGTTGAAATTGTAATTTAAGTAAGGTGTCTCATAGAATATATGGATAAAATTTCACCATCTTACTTTTGATAATAAGGCTCTGTATGAGCCAAATTATTATAGAATGAGAATGAAAGATATAATCGTTATTGGAGCCTACACAAGAGATAAACAATTTGAATTTAAATGTTGATGTAATTGGGTCATATTTTTCGTTTTAATGAGATAATAATGTAAATCAAATGGGGGATAAGTATGTTCGTTATAATATCTACATTAAACATGACAATAAACAAATATTTCCCGTGTTTCTCTTCGTTAGAGTGATAAAGCTCAACATACTAAGAGTGTGTTTGGTAGGGATTTTTGGGGGAAGAATTGATTTTTGAATAGTGATATGATGGGAAATGTGTGGTTGAAAAAGAAGAAAAAAGTATTGATGTGATGGAAAATATTATTTTATTGAAAAATGTGTGGTTGAAAATGAGAATTGATTTACTGTAGAAAATGAGAATCTGTACCAAACAGACCCTAAATATGGATGATTAAGAAGAGATTTCTGTTAAGAAACAATCGACATCAAATCCGCTAGATATTGCATATATATGCAATATATTCCATTAGCAACTCCTATAATTCCTCTCTTTAATTCAAGTAATTATCATGTAACTGAGAAAATGCTAGTGTATGTGTACCCTTACACAAATAAAATAACAAGTAGCCTTACATTTTCTTAAAATTCATCAATTTGGAGTTCCCATTTTTGTTGTTAGAATTTGGGTATGACTCGATTTTTTGTTGAAATAATTGAAGAATTCTAATTGAAGTGCACGTCAAGAGGAATTCGATTTGAAATGCTAATGGAGTCCTATTTCAAGTTGAAGTTCTATTTTGAAAGTCCATTGGAGGAGTTGAAAATTGATATTGGACTTGAAGAAGAGTTCGAGATTGAGAAAACAATTTAGAAAAAAAATAAAATTATGAGCAAAACGCCCTACGCTGGGTATGGGCGTCGCAGCGCCACCTGACCCGTTTCAGGTTTTTTTCCTCTCATTTTTCGTTTTGAACTCTATTTTTTGGCATCATATTTTATCAACAACTCTAATAGAAGGGTTTGGACGTCTCCTACATATTATTTATAAATATTATGCTCTTCTATACAATTTTAAAAGTATGAGAAAATAGATTACCAGAACTTTAGGATCAATGTATATTTCTTTATTATTATTATTAGTGCAATAAAATCTCATAATTCCTCTGTTTGTCTCCTTTTATTCTTTTGCTTGTGATCAAATACTTCATTATTGTGCCATATAAATTCAACATCTCAATCCGGTTGTTGTTTCATAACAAGTAGTATCAGAGCTTAGGTTTAGCAGTTCTGCAAGGGCGTAAGGTTTGATTTGTTTGAAATTTTTTGTTTTTGATGGCTTCCATGAAGTATGACATTCCCTTTTTAGATCGAAGTACTAAATTTTCGCTATGGCAGATTAAAATGCTAGATTTGGATGATATGTTGTTGGGAATTGACAAGATACCCGTAACTTTGACTGCGAAGGAGAAATTATGGAAGGATAAGATGACAGTTTCTCACATTCATTTTCATCTATCTAATACCATTCTTCATGATATTTTGAGTGAGGGTTCAACAGCTTCTTTATGGTTGAAGTTGGAATAATTGTGTATGACTAAAAGTCTAACAAGCAAGTTGCATTTCAAGCAGCGTTTATACTCTTATCGAATGGCAGAAGGAGGATCATTGGAAAATAATCGACTTTATTTAAAGAGATCATCGGTGATTTGGAAACTTTAGAAGTAAAGTATGATAAAGAAAATTTGGCATTGATCCTATTATATTCGTTGTCCACTTCGTTTTCTTCATTTAAAGACACAATCTTGTATAATCGTGATACTCTCATCATAGAGGAGGTGTATGATGTTTTGTTTTCAAAAGAGAAAATGAAACATCTGGTTTCAGAGGTTAGAGATGGAGAAGACCTTGTTGTTCATGGTGGTTCTAGAAGGGGAAGATCAAAATCTAAGTTTAGTAATTAGATTTTTAACTTCTGTAAGAAGAAGGGGCACTTGAAGAAGGATTGCTACAAATTGCAGAATAAAGAAAGGTTGGCTGCAAGTCGATATGGGAAGCAATTAGAGAATTCAGGTGAAGCAGACCTCGCAGAGAATATTGTAAGTGAAGGAGATCCCTTGACTATTTTTACATCAAGTCTAAACCAGAGGAGGATTGGATTCTGAATTCAGTGTGTGTGTGTTTCATATGTATCCTAATAAGGACTTGTTTACTACATATGAAATCGTTTCCAAAGGTGTCATGATTATGGGAGACTACACACCTTGTCGAGTTGCTAGAATAGTACGGTCAGATTGAAGCTATTGAATGGGACATTGAGAACATTTGGCTATGTTTGACGTGTTTCGGATTTGAAGAAGAATCTTATTTTTGTCTATCCTTGATTCAAAGGGTTATGAGTCTTTGGTGGAGGTGGAACTTTGAAGGTTTGTAAGGTTGCTCATATTGTATTGGAGGGACATAAAATGTCTCAATTATATATCTTGCAGGATCGTACAGAATCTAGAAGAGTCAATTAGCACAAGTTCAGTATCATGGTGGACATTCAGTTTGGTACAATACCTTTAGGAACTCGTAAATGGTCGAATTTGAAGAATAATGTTCGATGGAGTTTAGGAGATATGGATAATGACGCTTTGCCACCATCACCTGCAGTATCATTATATTCAATTGTTAGGGACGTACCCAATGACAAAAGGTATGTAGATGTTGATTTTGTTGAGCATACTTTCAGTGTTGTAAGAGGTCTACAATCTAGCAATGAGTCTTCTTTAAAAGTATTTGTGTTTGATTCTGTTTTGGGGTGTGTTATAGCCCAGTTTTGTGAATTTTACAATCATTATAATTTTTTGGGAATTTGAGATAATTTTGTAGAGTAGTGCTTGAATTTATTGGAAGAGGTGGAGTATTTTGTGTTTGATTGGAGAAATCAACTTTAGTTATTGTTGAAAAGTCGGTTCATTTCTTGCAGACGAATTTTCTTCTCCGAGTGGAGAATATTTTAAAGTTTTGTTCATTGTAGTGGAATTCGTGTCAAGGTGGAGATTGTTAGAATTTGGGTGTGCCGTGAATTTTTTTGTTGAAATAATTGAAAAATTCTAATTGAAGTGTATATTAAGAAAAATTCAGTTTGTAATGCTATTGGAGTGATATGTCAAGTTGAAATTCTATTTTGGAAGCCTGGACTTGAAGAAGAGTTCGGGGATGGAGAAAATTATTTGGAAACATAAAAAAAAAAAAAAATCCGGGCAGAACGTTTGGCCCCGCGGCACCACCTAACATGTTTTGAGTTTTTTGCGTTTTCTCTCATTTTTCGTTTTAAACTAGATTTTTTAGCATCATACTTTATTAACAACTTTACTATGAGGGTTGGACGTTCCCTACATATTTCCTATAAATATTAGGCAATTCTATACAATTTTATACGCATGAGAAGAGAGATTACCAAAACTTCAGGATCAATTGTATATTTCTCTATTATTATTGGTGCAATAAAATCTCTTAGTTTCTCTTTCATATTTTTTTGTTTTCTTTTGCTTGTGATCAAATACTTTATTATTGTGTCATATAATTTCAACATCTCAATCCGGTGGTTGGTTTCATAACATTTGCAATAGATGGGAAGGAAAAATTCACTTTTTACTTTTGGTAAGAAGACAACATACATAAACTGGATTTTGAGCAAAAAAAAAAAAAACAAATGCAGTATCTGTGCTTGGTACATGCATGTATGTTCCAGTTTGGTGTAGATAAAAAATAGATTTTTAATAAATTTCGATAAAAATTGATGAAAATTATGGTTTAAAAATTCATAAAAATTATGGATTTCACAAACTATGGTCAATTTTAACTTAAATTTTTATCAATTTTTTAAACTGCACCAGGGACATACATGCATGTACCAATGATGTTATCTTGGTCTCAATTCATTAAATTTAACACGTATCCAACCGTGGATGGTGACAACAGCCATCAATATTGAGAAAAAAACAAACGATAAATCTAAATGGAAGGAGAAACCACTGGCCGTATAAAACAAGTGGCGGGGACAACTTTAGTATCTGTTTTGCAAGATTTTTGAAAAATTAAAATTTACTTTTGAAGTTATTTTTTTTAAAAGTCACTTTCATTTTTCTTTCTTTAGAAAATTACTAAGCAGACCTTCAATAATTAAAATTTCGTGTTACGTACATAGAATTTTGTTTCATTCAGAGTATGTCGGCCTGCGTCATTTTACATTCTTAGTCGGTGCAAAGTGATCATATGGAATATGATTTGCACTTCAAAATACTTGTTGATTTGCTCAATACTGAACAAGTAGACGTATTGAGTTGTTCGCTTCTTATTCTATCTTTTTATTTTTTGGGATAATTGCAGCAAAAGTCTCAAATTTTTGAAGCACTAGTAGACTTTCTCCGAACCTCTCATTTGTTGAAGTCGTCATCTCCAACCTTCCCAAACGTTGCAAATGAGGCACTTTTAGACAGTTTCCATCCACATTTTCATCAGTTGATCAAAAATTTAATTTTGACTGCATTTTTAATATTTTAAAAATGAGTAAAATAGTAACTTTCTATTTATCACATTAAATAATTAAATTAATTAAATTGAAAAATAAAAAAATAAGACAAAACAAAATAATCACCCTCTATCTCCCACCCCCTCCTCCGCCTCAAACCTAGAATCAGCTACCCAACCACCGCAAACCTCTACCAATCTCCTGCTATCAGCCACCATTATCCACTCCATCATAATCGCCACCCAACAACCTCCGCCACCCAACCCCAAATCTCAAATTAAAATCAAAATACAAGCCATGTAAAACCAAAATTTGGTAAACGAAAGCCTAACAACTAGTAAAGAAGCCTTGCAATGGTCATTACAGTCTATTCAAGTACAAAAAATGCCACGTGAATTCATGTCTTGAACTTCTTAGGATATTCTCTCGATCCCTTAGATTTGATTTTGGATCTTCCATTTTCCTCGATTTGTTTGTAAATTCAACAAAATTTTGCCTTACCTCTTCATTGATTTAGCAGCATTTTCCATTTTCTTTAATAGTATCAGTCGATTTACCTCTCACTTCATCTACCATCGCTCTAAGCTTGTCCACCAAATTTTTGGACCTTTCAATGGTTCCTTTGATTGAGAGCTACTTTTCAGTAGCAAACCAAAATACAAGTTATCCACCCCACCCCATGTACTTTGGTTTTAGCCCCTGTTTGTTTCACATTATTTATGCAAGAAAATAAAAATGTGTACCATTTTTTTCAAATAAGTGGGTCCCACCAACACTCAAACTAGTAAAAAATGGCTACTATTATATTGTACCAACGGTCCATTTTTTTCTACTAATGTGAAACAATCAGGGGCTTAATTTAGGATTTGGGATTGGGTGGTGGAGGTTGTTGGGTGACGATTGTGATAAGGTGGATGATGGTGGTCGATGGAAGGTGGTTGGTGGAAGTGGCGGTGGTCGGGTGGCTGATTTTGGGTTTGAGGTGGGGTGAAAGGAAGATGAGGATTGTTTTGTTTTGTCTTATTTGTTATTTTTTAATTTAATTATTTTTGTCCTTTTTAAAAATATTTAAAATGTGATCAAAGTTAAATTTTTTATCAACTAACGGAATTGTGGACAAAAATTGTCCAAAAGGTTCTCACCTGCAATGATTGGAAATGTTAGGGATGACAGCTGCAACAAATGAAATGTTTTTGGAAAGCCTGCTAGTGTTTCAAAGGTTTGAGACTTTTGCTGCAAGTATTCATATTCGGTACTTCTTTCTTTTCTTTTCTTTTTGTAAGCTTAGTAGTATTCTGTATTAGTATAAGCATTTGTTATGCTTTATGTTTGTAAAAGGTGTCTAAACTCACGATTGAATTGAAGGCGGGACGATGGGACATAAGCAAAAGTATTTTGCTTCGAATGCAAATATCGATACCAATGATCAAATCAAAGATTAAAAATTTTCGAATGTTTAAACAATACTAAAAGTATTTTCAGTTGCACCGACCTCATTTTCCATCAGAATCTTGGCCTTGCTCACTCTGTCCGCTTAAAATAATTCAAAAACTCCAAACTTGTACTCCTAATCCTATGTAAAGATATCATAATTTTTTTAAAAAATAATGATATTAAGTATTACTGGAATTAAAACATTAATCTAGATGACAATAAATATCATTAAATGAGATGTATAATTAAATGAATAATATAATTTCACATTTAAATCAACCTATCACATAATGTCGCGAGTGTTCTAGCCCTACGAGTAGTAGATAACATTATTTATTTTTAGAGGAAATTACATCCAACCCTACTTTTAACTTACCATTTTCATAAATCCTAATTCAAGTTTCATATTTCAAAATTCAGGTTTTAATTAATAATTTAAAAACATTTTTTATTTTTATTTTTATATTTATTTACAATAAATTAATTTATATATACCCCCACCATATCTAGCCCTAACCCTAAAATCATTAACCCATATCCTATCTTCCTCCCGACTCTCTTCTCCACCACGACGCCGCCGTCGTCTCACCCATTCCTCCATTGCCGTTCTTCTCGTCGCCGTCTCTCACCCACATCTCCACTCTCTCGCCATTATCCACTCTCTTCACACACGGTAACACAGCAAGAACCACCGACCGCCGCCCCCACCGCCATCGTGTCTTCCCTGTCAAATCTCAAAGCGGCGCTCGAAGCGACGACGACGCTCCGTCTCCTATCCTTTCCTCCCCTTCTTTGTAAAGCCGTCGTCGTCACTCTGCTCCTCCGTCTTTTCTGCCAACCGCCGCCGCTCTTTAATTAGTAACCTGGAAGAAATGTGCAGGCGGAGATGGAGTTTTCCACAGTAGATTTGGGCAATTGTTGGGTTGTTGGTCTGATTTTTGCAGATCTGTGGCAGTGGATCGAGGTATTACGGATTGATGGTCGTGGTTTGTCTATTTTTTGTTGATGGTATGGATCGACGTCGGCCTCGTGAATTTCAGTGCTGTGTGCGGTGAAGGTGGTGGTATGAGTTGTTGCGCACGGTGGTGATATGGTGCGGTAGAGGTGGAGGTGCAGTGGTTTTTTTTTACGATGATGTTGTGTCGTGGGGGTGGCGGTGAAGGTGTGGTGGTAGGAACGTAGATCACTGGCCACATGTTTGTTGGTAGCGATGGGTAGTGACGATGGCTGTGGTGGTGCGTTTTTGTTGTTTATGGATCACTGGCCACATGTTTGAGAATGTGGGGGTGGTCGTGGCAGCGGTCGGGGGTGGGATGAGATGTGTTAAGTCGAGGGGTGGGTATCTGTGACCTAGAACTTGTGACTGTGACTCACTGAAATAGAGATGTGACCAATAAAAATTTAGATTTTTTCAATTTGTAACCTATAAAAAAAAATTTAATTCTAGGTGGAGAAATAATTTGTGACCATAACATTCGGTGGTCACAATATAAATTTTGTGATTGTGACCAATAAATAATTTGTGACCAATGAATTCGATAAACTGTGACGAGTACGAGCTGTGTGGCCTAAAGATTACTAATTTGTGACCTAGAAATTATTAGTTTGTGACCAATAAATTGAATGGAGAAATAATCTGTGATCATAAAATTCGGTGGTCACAAATGTAAAATTCGGTGCTTGTGACCAATGGATGCGATAAACTGTGACGAGTACAAGTTGTGTGACCTAAAAATTACTAATTTGTGACCTGAAAATTATCAATTTGTGACCAATAAATTGATGTTTGTGACCATAAAATAAGTAACGTAAGTATTAAATTTTGTAATTGTGACCGGTGAACAAATTGTGACTTTCAAATTTTTAAGTTGTGACCGATGAACAAATTGTGACCTATGAAAATTTTGAATTGTGACCTAAAAAGTAGCGGAACGGTCATCGGAATACTCGTTGGAATTGAAGCAGGCGCCGGAATAGTCGTCGGAGAAGAGTGGTGATCGGAAAGTCGGTTGGGGAGGTGAAGGTGGGGTGGGGTAATTATATTAAATTAGAATTAAATATTTAAATAAATAATTGATTTAATAATTCATTAATTATTAATTAAATATTTAAAAAANTATTAATTAAAATTTTAGAAAACCTGATTTGTGAATTTTCAAACTTGTTTTTGAATTTTTGAAATAGATGAAAGTAAATACCTTATTTGTGTATTGTACCCTTATTTTTAAGAACAAGTCTTTGGGCCCCTTTTAACTATGACACTCAACAAAATGAACCCAAAAGGGTATCTACAGGGCCATGAAATTTGTTTTAAGCCCATTACTATTACTCCGCTTACTCAAACTACTCCAGAGAGTAGATCTTCGTAGGGTTCTTCAGTTCAACATTCAGCTTCAAGCACGCCCGAAATGACGAAATTCAGGAAGCTTAATCGACCTACAGGTCATCGGATGTCTATGCTAAGGTAAGATTTTTTTATTTTTTTTTACTGTTTTTGGGATTTTTTTAAGGTTTTGATTTTCTGTTCACAGGACAATGGTATCACAGTTGGTGAAGCATGAGCGCATTGAAACCACTGTTGCTAAGGTAATTGATTATTTTTCTTTTGCGTTTTCATATACGCTTTTTAAGTTTAGGGGTTTACGCGGGTTCCAGTGTGATCTTTTTACTAAAATATTTTCTGGCTTACACCAAACAGGAAATTATTTCTTTTTTAGAACGATACGAATTTTTTGGAGTACATCCAGAAGAGATTTAATATTCTTTGAATTATCAGATGTGGGCATCTGAAAGAAAAGGAGCGTGTCGGTGTATATCAGGGCTATTATGTTTAATTTAAAAATGTAAGCCAATTTACTTTGGTTTATAATGATTTTTGTTAGTGACGGCCACCAATTCCTCAAATAATTAAATTAGAAAAAGGAGAAAAGAAATTGTTTACTTCATAAATGATCATCTTTTGCAGATACCGAAGTCACGTTTTTTTATTTTTAATGTTATTAAAAATATGTGTAAGTCAAGATTTTGGTCATTACTTCACTTTCACTATTTTTATTTTTTCGAGAGTTTCACAGTATTATTATTATTATTATTTGGGTACTGGGATGGTTGGGTGGACAACCTGCTAAAATGCTCTTTGGTGTTAGTACTTTGGGCTTCCTTGTAGATTACAACCAAGAATTGCTATGTTTAACATTTTTAATTTTCCTTTACATGTTATCTTATTTATAGGCAAAGGAAGTCCGAAGACTAGCTGATAATATGGTACAGCTTGGGAAAGAGGTGTGAATTTCATTTTCTCTGATTTAAATGAGTTTATTAATTCGGATTATGCTGATGAGGGATAAATTTGAGCTAGTTCTATCTTGTTTGATTTCTTTTCTTTCTTCATTAAGCTAATGTAGTATGACATTATAAATTAGTGTCATTCTTTAATCTTAAGAAGGAAAAACAGTATTATGTTTCTGAGGTTCTAGTTGATTATCCCCATCTCTCTAGTTTGTATAGACCCAGTTATTGAATTCTGATTTGTATTAGCTGGTTCTTATCTTTGTGTATATTCATGTTTACTTTCTTTTATGACTTTTTTTTTTTACAATATTTGGTAGAATATTAGTTCTATTGTCCTTTCAAATCTGGCATAAGATTTAGCACGCTTTAGACAATCAGATTTGCTCTACTTGAATACAAGGTTCATTCTATATTCCTCAATTGAGATGCATTTCCTTGATGCTTTATTGGGATTAGGTTGTACTCTGCTGTAAATATTTATCAGGTTGTTTTTTAACAAGTATAGGGAGATTGAATTGGACGAGAAACTTTTAAAGAGAGAGATGAAAATTCAACAATTAAAGAAAATATTATTCATGGACAGAAACCACACTGTATGCTTGGAAATAAGAAAGACTTTGATGGCATCCAAATTTGAATTAATGTATCATGGATATATTGAATATATATACCACTTTGATAAGTTAGTTGATCAACGTACATGAACAGAGTGCAACATACGACTATTAACTTTGATCTGTTTACTGAATCACGTTTCAAGAAAAAGTCTGATTTTTTTCCAACTCCATGATGTTGAGTTGAAAAATGTTTGATAGAGTGAAATAGCAACCCATTTATTGTTTTCTATCATCATGGAAAACCATCAGTTCCCATGAAACTTTGGAATTTTTTTATAGAATTAGATAAAGATTCCGATCTTATAAAGTTAGACAGAATTTTCATGATATCTATATCTATATCTCTCTCTCTATATATATATACACACACACACACACCTAAGTATGTTGTTTTATTGTTTAGTTTTTGACTCAAATGCCAAATTACTGTAGGGTACTCTCTGCGCTGCAAGGCGTGCTGCTGCCTTTGTACGTGGTGATGATGTCCTTCACAAGTTATTCACGGAATTGGCTTATCGATACAAGTGCATCTCAAACCTGTAAACTTTTCAATGTTTTTTTTTTTACTTCTTATTGTGATATAAGTTGGACATTTCTCATTTACAGAGAGAGAGCTGGTGGATACACGAGATTACTTCGAACTAGAATTCGAGTTGGTGATGCTGCACCAATGGCTTATATTGAGTATGTATTTTGTTTTACCATTTCTTTATCCTGTACAAAGGCACTAGCTTGCCATCTGTTCGCATATTAAAAATCGAGCTTTCAGAGTCATAAGTTTCATATTTCACGAATCATGGGAGAGGAAAATTCTTTATAGCAGAAAATATCTGTAGTACAGCAAATATTTACGAGTACATTCTAACTGTTTCCTTTCTTGGTTGCTATGTTGTTTCACGTTGCAGATTTATAGATAGAGAAAATGAACTTAGACAATCTAAACCACCAACTCCACAACCTCCTCAGAGGGCTCCCCTGGATCCCTGGACAAGATCTCGACTTACCAGACAATTAGCACCACCTAAAGAAGAGAAAAGCTCCGGAGCTGAGAATTAAAATCCAATATTTTGAAATGTAAGACGAAGGTTTTGTTTTCATCTTTCTATTTGATATGTAGCCTTTTGTAATTCTATAAAACGAAATACTGGGATTTGGTAGAAACTCCAAGCATGCCATCTCGGCTTGGCCGAGTTTGAAGCATGCCGTCCGGGATGCATTTTTACACCCTTGTTCAAGCTGTAGTTGGTGTGCACCAGCTTCTTGTTTTAAACATGAATCAGTAACTTGATTCCCCTTTTATTATAGCCTAGTGAATCAGAAAAAGTAGCACATGAAGATAGAGTGTAGGCTTGATGATTGTGTTTAAAAGTGAGCAATGACATTGCAAGTTAGCTAACACAAAAAGAAAATTACATAATTGAATATGAGAATGACTAAGTTGGTGACGCCACGCCCAGAATATCAATTGAAAGCGAAAGTACAAACATCGATTGCTTTGCTTCCAATACTAAGTACGAAGGTGTCATGTCTTTATACTTTCTTTCAGTCTTATACTCCTTTCCATTCCTAGTATTTATTTTATTGCAAGTCTGATTTAATCTTATTTCCTAAGATTGAATGTCCATGTCCGTGTTCACGTCTATCCAATAGGCGATCTAGAATTTGTGGTGAAGGGAGGTGAAAGAAGTTTGTGAAGTAATTCGGGACCCTGTTAGATTTTGTCAAAGAATGAAAAGAAAGATTTCAAGCGACAAAAATGCTGTTAAGAGTCTGATTGGGAGTTTTGGGATACCCGTTATGGGGTTCTTTAAAGTATGATTTTATGCATTTATGAGGAGATTGATTATGGGTTATTTTTATGAGAGCTTTTCCATACTTTGGAGTTTATTATTCAATGGTTTTAAAAGTTTTTTTTTTAAATAAAATTATATATATTGCCCATATATTAAAAAAGTATGTATGTGAAAATAATAAGAAACATGTATTTTTCAATTTATAACTCATAAGCGATATTTTAATTATAATTCATTTAAGTTAATTAAAAAATGAAATATTTATTTGAATTAAAATTTTGATTTATAACTAGTTATTACTTATAAGTTAATTTTGTACTTATAAATAATTTTGTACATAAGTGAACTTTTAGCTTATTATTTTTTATATTTTAAAAGTGTGTTTTATTAGTAGTGTTTTTATTTTATAAGCAAATTTTAATGAAAATGAATGCATTGTTTTTTAATTATAATTTTTTTGCTTATAAGTAAAATATGAGTTATTTTATGTTTTTTATAAACAATTTTTTTTTTACCATAATCGAATTTTTATCTTGTAGAACAATTATTTTAAATTGGAAGAAAATTTGAGACAGCAAAATCATCGATTTGGTGAATTGAAAAATACAATTCAAAATACACTACACTAATTTTGAGTGATTATTAATTAATTCTAAATCAGTATCCCAAGCATCTCCTCTTATGAGCAGTGTAACCCATAAACGATCAAAATCAATGAAAAGAAAAACTCTTCACCCCAGAAGTTACTCTTTCTATTTTATTTTTCTCATTTCTAAAATTTTCTTAAATCGGCTATACAAATATTTACGTATTTTAATTAGTTTTAAGAAGTAGTTGCGTACAAAATACATGGGGATGGAGTAACTGAGGATTCTTGGCGAGAGGTGCAAGGCTTTAGTCATATAAGGATGTCCCACCCTCTGTATGTCCAGTTGTTATATTGCCAAGTGTGATGCTTTTAATTTGTCCAAAAACTTTTGTTTCATATGGATTTGCTTACTGGCCCGTCAAGACTTGAAAGCTTAAATGTTCATATTTGTAATTGTCATTACAACTGTAATTGATCATGATTATTTAGCTTTAATAGGATTACATCAATTCTGCCCCTCCCCCACACACGTGTGAATTTTTGTCGTGGTGGGGTTGGTGAATTTTGCAAGAAATTATATGTGGACTGACATGACTAAAAGCATGTTTAGTACACTAAAATCGACAACAGTGAAGACGATTAAGGAAGATCATCTTGTACAGTCGACCAAACGTGCTCAAAAGATTGCATTATCACAAAGCGACGCGCCCTCATTACCAACTTTTATTGTAATGAAGACCCTTAAAGAGATTCATTAGGATTTGACTTGATTATTGAGTACCCATTACTGCAACTAATTGATAATATTGACTATTTAACAAGAAAGAAATGAATAGCACATCATTTATAAGGAAACTTAAATCTCTGTTAATGTGTTGAAATTGGGTTAATTTAGGAGAAACCATTTTGATTTAACAATGTTACCTTCCATTACATGAGATTTTCTGATTGTTACCTAAAGAAGATGATTGTATTCCCTGTTTGGTAAGGAGATATTACATGCTAATCACCATACATTGAGTAAACATCTTAATTTGTAACCATATACATCATCCATTAAACTATTGTTTTCATTAACCTAATCCAGCTACTCTTTCTTTATTTTTTTGGAGTGGGCAGTAGGGGTTGAACTACTTTTCCATGATTATATTTAATATATTTGAACCCTAAAGATATGTACCATCAATAGAAATTAGAAATGATTGTACTTCATATCTCCTGTCAACAACAAATCAAGAACAAGATATTCTACTAAATGAAATAATACGCATATTTAAGAAAAATGTTGTTGAAAACATGAATTTTCTAGGATATTATTAAGGATTCCCAACAAAAACAGAATATTCAATTTTGTAATATTTTTTTTTTCAGCATTAATAGACCTTGAACAAAAAATAAAATCGTAGATCAGAAATAAAGAGGACAACTGTACTATACAGACTATGATATCATGAATCCATAAATGGCTACATAAAGAAAATGTTTAAAGCAAGAAAGAAAAGATTTTTATCTCCATGGTGGTTCATCTGAAAATAATAAGCAGATCATATATTTTTTTGGTAATCATTTTTACAGATCAAAAACTCAAATATGTGTAGTAATAATCCTTGCATATTATAGGAGGAGAATTCAAATATAAGTTACTCATTTCTATATAGACCCTCCTTCCAACCTTTTCTTTCCACCTGCTATATATTCCACCATTCACAGAAAGCTCCAAAAAATACAGATAAACTCTCTCAAATCTCTCTTAATCTCTGTTTTTCTTTTTCATCTCTGGTAGTCCTATGCAGGTTAGAAACTGACTAGGCATCTTCAAAGGTAGAATGTAATACATATATTGAAGCATCTAGATCATCATGAAACTATCTTGTTTCCAGGCATACATACCTTTTACATATAATCTACTTGTAAGTTGCTAAGCATAGACAATCATGAAAATGTATAGAATAGTAATTATAGTCACCCTTTTCTGAAAAATTCCGATTACCTTCAAATGGTCCCATTTTCTTATTGTACAAGAATGTATAGCTATCCTCCACGTTTTGCTTTTCATTTCCTTTATCAATGTCTTTCTCATTGAATTTTCATTTTATGGCATCCAATAGCCTTTTCAGACTTGTGGTTGAAATTGAAATGAAATGGTTTTCTTGTTATTTTGCAGACCAGAAGTTCCTTTAGTTTTTTTATGAACAAAGGGTAACGAGAGTGATATATTGTTTCTGAAGCCCCATGGATACCAGACAAAGAGTGTGAGTACAGTATCTAAATGATTTTATGTCTTGCGCATTTCAATTCAGAGTTAGTTGTTTCAGTTTCATGCAGGGATTTTTTTTTTTACTGATCATTTTTTCCCCCCTTCATCCTGATCGATTTCACAACAAGAACAACAACAACTAAGCCTTGTTCTCAATAACTTTGGGATCGACTAAATAAATTTCAATTTGTCACTCCATTCGATTTATCGTGATTGAGTTTAAGAAACGATTATGACTGTAAATTTAATCACAGCATCCTATTGCAGCAAAACCAGAAGTCTATAAGAATTCCTAAAGCTTTATCAATTGCAGCAGAGTTCAGCTTCTTCTTTGATGTCTATTTCCATGCATGTTGTTTGTACTTTCAGAGTCAATCTTATGGATACTTTATTCCTAATGATACATTTCCCTTTAAATTTGGCAGGGGAAGAAATCTGATTGAATCTAAAATGTTATGAATGGAGTTATCATTTCATCCAATACTCGATCTTTTTATTCACACACAACTTCTTAATGAATAGAGAAAAAATTAAGTTGAACTTGGTAGAAGTTTTAGAAAGCTTTTATTATTTCTAAAATAGTTTTAGAATTTTAAGGTAATTGTTAGACATTGGTAGAATAACCATTGTTGTCATGGATTCTTTTCAATAGAAGGTTGATCAATTACAGAATATATTTGAAGCATTCGTATCTTTTGAAATCCTTTAGGTTCTGTGTTTATTTATCTCTCATATATTTTTTCTTGTTTTCCTCTTCTTGTTTACACTAACATATAGTTAAATGACTTTTTACAGAGACGAGGCATACAAGAGAAAATTAAAGAGAATCAAAGTTAGAAGTGTAGAAAATCCATTCCAATTTTTTTCTGCAGGCAAGAGCACAAAATGCAAACTCAATCCCTTAAAGATTATCCTGGCTATCATTATACTTGTCTCCATTGTGACATTTCTTTTGTCTCCAACAATTTGTCAGAAAAACAGTATATCGCACACAGTTTCCCGGTCAGTTCTGTTTTCATTTTTGTCTTCCATTGTAAATTTAAATACGTTATTATCCTCAATATGCATTCTTCAATTAGAAACGAGGGAAAATTGTGTGACTGATAATAAAAATGTTAACTGGAATATATGATTTCAGACATCAGGATTTCACGTGTATAAATAATCTGTGCTAATCTTCAGCTATGAGTAAATCTTCTCAACAAACAGTTCACATCTGAAGTATTAGTAAGCAGCCTTTTGAAATTGAGACAAATATCTAGTTTTACTGTAGACTTTAGAAGTCAGGAACTAATGAAACAAAGAAAAAAACAGAATAAAAGAAGTGCTTTAGAAACAATAATCAGCTATTATTAATGGGTAGCTTATTTAATGCAGGCCACATTTTGTGAACAGGTGGATATGGGGAGGGTCAGAT